GTTGCACTAGTGAAATTTTCGTCTGAAAATTTTCTAGCAAAAACCAGCTTTCATACGTCGAAGTTTGATTTATGAGGATGCTTAGGTCAGTCTTGGGCACCCCCTGGTTAAAAACCACCAAATAGTCAAGAAAACTAAAGTCTTTCATTCAGTTTCAGCTGTCCTGATCTTAGCTATGAGACTTTGTTCTTCTATTGTGGTACACCTTAACCTATTCGGCTTTAGCTAAATACACCTCATTGAAGCGCGATCTAGAAAAACATCATTGTTCTCTTTTGGAGCACATCAATGGCCCAATCAACAAATAAAGGCCTTAAGTTTAGATACATACACTTATATTATTACAAATACGCTTACTACTACCCCAAGCAAAGCGTATTCACACTTATCACACAGACATTTATACGATGAAGTCGGAAACCAACAACACCAACTTCTAAACAATTACGCATCCACCTACTTTATACACTGTGTACTCAATCATACTAAACACTCACATTTCCACATAATTTTTAATCTTTGTTGCACCATCTCCCACCAATTCACTCGTTCTTTCCCATATCGTGAGCGCCCCTTCTCTCATCCCTTTGAGAGCGAGCTAGCCACTGTTCGTTGACGAGTATTCTCTGATTTTCTTTCTAATTTTGTTTATTAGGCTTCTCGGAGATATAATCTTATAGTTTAATCTCAGGTTAGTTTTTGTTGGTGGATAACAGGATCGTCTGGTAAATTTAATACTGTTCTGGGTTTTATGAACCCATTCGTCTATGTCTTTTTCTTCCTTATCACATGCAAAAAAAAAAAAATCGTAAGATGATACATTCAACTACAGGATTCTTAAATCATTAATCTACTTAGTACTTCAATTTTCTACAGCAATACATGAATTGTTGTTATTGAATAAATTCAAGATTGTCCGGTCATTTTGTGATAAATCAGGATTTTTTCTCTTTTTTCGAGAATGACTTTCTGTAATGAAAATGCAAGCTTCATTCTTTTTATTCTATTGTCAATTTTATAGAAAATAAATAATTTGTTATTTTTACGGATTTTGCAGATGTTTCCATTTTACTTTTTTCATTTATTTTTCTGCATACCCCACCGAAAGTGCTTCTTATCTGCCCTGCTCCAAAACGGATAATCAGTTCTTTCGATGAGGATATGCAAAAAATAGTATATGCACCACGTTCGGAGGTTAAGAAATGCCCTAGATTCCACATTTGGCTTCACTTCGAACGTTTATTCACGCAATATCTGTGACATCCTTAACCTCGGGCAATAGATGCGTAAATCGCTATATTTCCAGAATCAACGGGCAGTTTTTCTTCCACAAATGATCTTTTACAAAATGGAGCCTTTTTTACTATTAATAGACAGCACCAAAAGAAGGCATCCAGTCACTTACCAAATTTAATTGAACATCTCTCAAATACGAATATGTTGTGAGCATTTATATCACTTAAGAGTGAGTTCCATAGTCTCTTGAGGTGAGACAATACTGAATAGTATACATAATTTTCGTTCAGCTAGTTTTAACTATTGCTCTACAGTTCCTAACTGTATGATTGTATTCCTTTAAAAAAAGCAATCTCTGTTTTGCATTTCAAATCGCCGTAAATAACCCTTCATTCAAAGCAACAGTTATTGTACAGATGAAGTTGACCAATGCAATCAAACCGGCCCAAGACCAGTACTGCAACTTTTTAATATCACAAACTGACTGTTGCGTGTTAGGTCTCCAGATCTTAGAACCATGAAGAAGAGATAAAAAGACAAGAAATTTGCATAAGTATACCAATGTCTTAGCATTAGAAAAGTTCTTATAACACCTTTTCAGTGACCTAAACGTTGAGCAGGCAGTGGAGGGTGCACAATTAATTTGCTTTGCAACGGTCCACCTTTGGGCTATGGATGGTGGGGTGTTTTTGGCGAGGTGGGCCGCACAACAAAATAAAATTAATTCGGACAGAGTAGTTGAAGACACAGGTAAATCAATAAAATATTATGATAAAGTGAAATTCCCTTAAATTTTTGATATTCATCGAATACTTGTTAAATAAAAAACAAAAATAAATCGCGTTCCAAAAATTAATTGTCGAGCACTGATTACTGGACTTCATTATTCAGCTAATTAAATAATTTTTCATCATATGTGACTCTCCTTTTTACGAACTAAACAAAAGTTTTGGTTAACAATGTTTTATTTCTTTTTTTTTTTCTAACAATTAACGATTTCTTTGGAATGTTCGTAAAACAGAATCATACATAAAAATAAAATTAATTATGAAAATCAAAAATCAGTTTTAATGAAGTAATAAAAATAATTTGATCGTACTAAAAGAAAATGAAAACTTTAAAAATGGAATTTTACGTTCATGAATTTATTGCTTGACACAGAAAAAGTTTCGTTAAAACCCCCCTATACAACTATCTCAACTTATTAACCTAAAAAAAATGAACTTGTTTTTATTTTTACAGGCAAAGGTTTACCGATCAATGGTAAGATCCTTGTATTTATTCGGAATCAGCCTAGTTTTCTTTACCACTAAGCTAACAAACTACTATAATGTCAAAACTGACAATGTCAACGCTAATTACTATATAACAATCGAAGATTAGATGCGCAACAGGAAATAATAAGATAAAGTCATACAAAGTTACGACTGCTGTGAATTAAAACAAAATGACTATACAAAAATCCGGAATGCATTTGGGCTGTATTTTCTAGTTTTATATATAAATTAAAAAAACAAATCAAATGAAAAAAAAAGAAAGAAAAACAATGCAGATGAATTACACACGGACAGATAGTAACACTGTAGAAGCCACAACACGAGAAACGTCGTACCGGAAAGAATACCTATAAAAAAAATCGCATCTAGAAAACCTCCATGAATGATAAAGAAAGCAGTTAGCAGATAACCTCTGAGTTAATTAAATAACCGGAGATTTTCATCCATCAACTGAATAATTTCGTGAAGTGAAATCAACGTATACCACTAACCCTCGGCTAATAAGGCAGGTAGATACGACCGCACCAGGTTGACCACAAATTCGAAAGCGTGACCCCAAAACACACCGGAAAGCTTCCCTAAAGCCAAAACACTGCTAACCAGGAAGAAATTAAAGACAAATAAAATAGCACACCGTTGCTGCTGGTCACTGATTTAAGACCACCACTTGGTTGGATCAATTAAGCAACTGAGGACAAATTTGTCTTTCATCTGAACTCATCAATAAATTGATGAGAAAGCGAATCTAGCCAACAAAGGGTACACTTACTATTCTATATAGCGTGCAGAAATCCAATGTGATGATCGTCCCCAGCACGTGACAGCACGGCAGCAGAAAGACAGCACCCAAGTGACGTATAAGTTTTTTTACCGAGTCCACTTCTCGCAGTGTGGCCTACAATCCTCTCCTTTGACTCAACCTTCTGAATATGACTTCTCGAGCCCCTTCTTTCTAGTCTCCCACCGGCTACAAACTCTCTCAACTTAGTTCCTACTCCCAGTCTACTGCTACACGCAGCCGTACGGGATACACGTCTATTCGTCATGAGACGCGTGGGAAAGGTTTTAGTTCCAGTTATTGCCACATTGTAGAATGGCGCTAAATTTCCGCGGTTTTCTTTTGAACTCGTAAAATGGTAAATGTTTTAGTTTCAACCTTATCCACTTTATTTATTTTTATAAGGATTCTTCGGCGCTAGCAATCGCGTCTCATGACGAATTATCAACACAAATTTAAGCGCATTTCCGAATTAATGTTCTGCCGACGCTCTCGTGCACACACACTCATAAGGCACGTCTCATACGTGTACTCTCAGCTTATAAAATTCGAAAGAGCTTTCAAAAATAATCGATTTCTGTAAGAAGGTTTAATAAAATTTCACAATTTTTCAAACTTTGGGAAATCAAGTTTTTTTTCTCTTTTCGTTATTACCTTCTTTCAAAAAATTAAAGCACTTGTCTCTATAAAGTTTTCTTTTGCATGAAGAGTAAACATACTAACTGTGCGGTTTCAAAATTTTTGCGTATATTTTTTTGGTTAATAAATCAAGATGATACGATGATTATTATGCACCCGTCTTGTAGCGAGGGTTGCAACACTTATGGAATTGTTTGATAATGTGCGAACACAATACCATTTGTTTTAAGTTCACTTTTAAACGGATTAATCTCAAGCTCCCTAATTAACTTATATATGAATAATCATTGAACATCAAATTTACCTGTACATTAAAATAAAGTAATATTTAAAATAATAATATTTGAAAAAAAATATAATATGCATGTTTAGAAATAAAGTTTTTAAAAAGGATCAAACATAAAATTGTTTTTCCGTTACATACAATTATAAATTTTTAGAGTTTTAGAATCAATATTCTTACAACGCTACAGAAACGTATCGAAATTCTAAGTTAAAGTGTACCACTTCATTAGAACATGAACGAAATCTCATGAAAACCGCATTGAGACATGACAGTTTCGTTGCCGTGTTTCACTTCAGAAATTTTGACTTTTTGTAATGTAGCTAAAAAAAAAAACGTAAAAAGATTCGATACAAGTTGTTAAGAAATAAGGTTAAGTACGACTGGAAGATTTAGTAAAACAAATATGTATTAAACTACTTAAGGGGTATCTGATGACGGAGATTTGGAAATACAGTGTGGAATTTAAAAAACTGACAAGATCAAGAAATAAAGATTAAAAAGTGAAGATACTGTACAAGGAAACAGTAGTCAAGAACAGCGACTGCAATAAAATAAACTGGCGTGTTCTAATACGAAATTATTTTTGAAAAGATAGTATATAAATTAATGGCATTGTTACGGGGCAAATCTTTAACTTTTAAATGAAAATGTTCAAACATGTGATATCGTGTGAAAGAATCCGAGTATGAAAATATTGCAGATCTGCACATAAAAAATAAATACCAAACGATACTTTAAAGGAACAAACATTAAGCAGTACGTAGGTAAATTTTTCGTTACTTACGGTGCGAGAAATGGTTTGTGCAGCCCGAATCTTCCGTAACTTTAGGTATCCAGGATTTTGACTGACAGCAATACCTAAGTAAACTTGAGTTAAGGAGAAACGTCATTTAATCATTATTTAATACAAAATATAAGAAAAACTTAAAGAAATTTTGTGAAAATCGTGCAAAATTTTTTTGTCTATTGATGACACAGGATGTAACCTTGAAATACGCAGCATTTATTTATTTTTATAATATATAAGCAACTATCAGCTTTTAAAAACACTTTTTTTAAATATCTGGCATGCAAATGAACATGGCAGCTGTGTTTCTTGTACTATTTCTCAGATTATTTGCATTTACAAGTTCTTAATAATTCATACATCTTCCAATTTTTATTGTTCAACCAAACGATTAATACGATCATCACATTTATTCTGAGTGCTCAACTCAGAGTAATAAAAATTGCTCATTTCTCTATAAAAACTTTATTTTTCTAATGAGTTTGTTGTCAAGCTTTTAATACGGATTTTATAGTACCCTTCAAATTTGCAAGGATTATAAGTTAAATTGATACATTATTGTTGTCTTATCTCATAATCTATTAAAGGTAATTTGAACCTTTTAGAGGGCAAGTAAAATTAAAAAAGTATGTAATAATAAGTTATAAATTTGGGACAGTTGGGACAGTTTTAAAAATTTTAAATAAGTTAGGAGTATGCAAACATTTCTGATGCGAATATTATTTTATTACAAAGATTTGACGGATATTTAAAACTTCATTACTTACTATGTAGGAATGGTTTCTAAGTTTTTCCCTAAAATATAATATAATTTTTCTACCTGACACGCTCACTCCCGTAAAAATCCACTGAAATTTCGCACTACTACCCTCACTCCTACCTTCGTCCCTCCTAGTCTTCTTTATTTCATACTGATTGAGAGAGTCAGATAACATAACCAGCTAAAATTAAAAAGTTAATGAAATTTAGATAGAGACTCCATCACAGAGGCATAAAACAAAGCATGAGTAATAAAAGATGTTAAAATATCGATAAACACGTAGTAGAAAATAGTTAAATGGTTTATACTAACCTAATGTGTGAAAAAAAAACCAGAACTATTAATTTAAACATAACTAACTTAAAAACACAGATGCAGGATTAGTTGTATATAGGCTGAGGCACTGTGGCTCAGTCTTAGGATATAAATATATAGACATAGCGATACTAAAACAGGTATAAAGGAAGAATAGATTAAAGGACAGTTTTCCCAACGTATTTATGCTAAGATAAGTATACTTAAAAATTTATTTTCCTAATGTGTTTTTCCAAGTTTGTTTTATACACAAATGTTACCCTAAGAACATATAGTTTCTAAAATTTGGGTTTTTATAATATTATTTATTCGACTATAGAAACTGAGAAAGTAATACTACAATCAACTAAGCAAAGGTAAATAAAATCATTTTCCGCATAATTATGGTATTTTGTGACAATTTCACAAATTTAGTGTCGCAATTATAGCCACTTCTCATCTTGAGCTTTCTGAATTCGTTGTCTAAGTTCAACGATACGTTAGACTGAGTTAAATCAATCATGAACTAGAAAAACTTATTCGCACCCAGTTTTTTTGTGCTGTCTGTTTAAAACGTAATACTGCCCCTTAAAGTTTATTTTGCCATCAAGGCTTGTGGCCAAATTCAGATACTTTGGCACATTGTAAACTAAAACAGAATGGGGTTGTGTATACCAAAACCCGACAGTTTTTAAGAACAGAGTTCCCAAAGTTTTAGAAAATGCGTTTTTCCGGTTTTCAGACATCCATAAGAGTAAAAAATAAAGAGATTTTTATGTGTTACAACACACGAACATAAACTATTAGCCTTCTTTGACAACCTCTTCAAAAGAATATAAAAAAATTAAGCGGCAACATAGTTGTTTGCCCTAAACATTTAGGGTGAGTTTGGAAAATGTTGGTAAAATATCTACTCATTCGAAAAAAGTGTTCGGGAAAAAAAATTTTCCTTAAGCAAATTTTTTGGAAAATAATTTTCTGGGAAAACTTTCTGTGGGACCAACAGCTTGGCAAAACTGACCCCTAACAAATAAATAATCAACATAAGAAATTGCAAGTATAATTTGTTGACAGAGATGATAAGGTACAATAACAAGCCAAGACTTACTTTATTAATAATAATTGTATTAACCGTCATAAGAATAATGCAACGATTTAAGGAAACAGTGAGCTAAGGAAAAAAACAAAAGTATTATCGAATTCAATTTCTAAAAAATTCAGTTAAAAACGAAGGAACTATTTAGAAACATAAAACAGGGAATAATAATCACGATACTTTATAAAAAGTAAGAAAATGTGTATTTCTTACCATAGGTAAAAAGTACAACTTGCGTGCCCGAAGGGTGCAGATGTTGTATGTTTGTGCCTGAGTTGAGAACGACATTTTGTACACCGAAAGCACAAAGTTGTTCTTTAAGCACGATATTTACTTCGTATCCTAGGGCTGCGACAACATTCATAAATTAGTAGTTTTTGTGCCTGGTGGTGGCGCATGTCACCAGGGCAAGCACCAAGCCTAAGGGACCTTCAAAGTAGGGCCTAACAGACTCCTTGTGCTTGGTCTGGTTAGATGGGTACGAGTTGCGAGCTCTATTTTTCCTGGTAAGGGAGTAGTAGACGTCCAAATGTTTAAAAAAAACTTTCAGAGTAGGAAAACGTAGATTTTTGTATCTTTACAACTGTTGCACAATATAACCTAAAAAATTTATAAAAGTAAAAAAATACGGTTTGTGTTACAAAGTTTCGTTCAGAAAAAAATTGTATTTACTAAAAGATCCAATGGATAAAACGAGTTAGATTAGAATTTATTATACCATGTTCTACATCTGGTAATGCAAGTAAGTTTCTACCATTTTTTAAATAAAAATTATAGATTTATTACAAAAAAATATGCGTTACATATTATTCGAAATATTATCCATCATTAGCTACTACTGATTAATGTCTTCATAGCAACATTTAGATACCACGTCGGAAAAACTCTACCTTTTTAACCCATGAATCGACTCAATGCTTAGCTTCTTCGTAAGAAGTGTGCGGTTTTACCAGGATGTCATCTATTAACCGAAAAAATGTATTTTTGACGACTTTCGCAACATGTGGTTGAGCATTGTCATGCTGAAAAATCACTTTGCTATGTCTTTTGGCATATAGTTGTTGTTGATAAGATTTTCTATTGACAGTTTCGTTAGGCTAAAGTAGCTCGTAATTGATTACTCCAAAGCAATCGCACCAGATACACAAAATTTTATCAACTTCACATTAACTTTTTGTCAAAAATATTCGGTTAAGCCGTTCAAATTAGTACATAGCCAGACTTACCCTACGATTTCCTATAAAATGATGTAGGTATGAATCCGCACTTCATCCCCCATCACTATTGAGCAAACCCTTTCAGCGTTCCTCCATGTTGTATGTCTTCAACGTCAAACTCGCCATTTATTTACTTTTGAAACCACTCAAAACAACTTTTCATTTTTCGAGCAGCGTCCCCTTAAACTTTTTCAAGCAACCGGCTCAGCATCAAATTTCTTTTAATAAATAAATGAATCAACACCTCCTGAAAACGATACTTATTTGGCACAAAACTTGACATGTTCCAACGAAATGTAAAAAATGTACGTTGCCAAAACAAATTTAACAGTATTTAAAGGTTATAAGGCTGCCGTGTCTAAACTTTCTTTATGACATTTCACAGATGACAATTTCACAGTGATACTGTAGGTTCATTTCTTAAAAAAAAAGGAAAATCATAAATACTTATATTTGTATTTTTTTTAGGAAATCAAAAAATACTGTAAAAAACTGCTTTTTTATTATTAACGTATTTCTTTCAATTTTCCAGATAATAACTTACTATTTAATCAAAAAGGTATTTCTGTTGAGTAGAAAAAAAAGTATTCGTCAGAATTAGAAACAATTAAGAGTTATCTGATTACCAGTATAATTACGAAAAAAAAACTTTTTTGTAAATTTGTTATTGCCTAGTTTCAGCAGGGCCTACAGGATCTATTCATGGTTTAAATTTTTTGTAATACACAATACCATTATTCGATAAACATAAAAATCATTTAAAATTTTTCACTGAAACAAATCAAAATCAAACTGTTACATTTACAGCATTTCATCATTCCTGTATTACAACATAAGCTAGTTAAAAAATTTATTTTTTGTATTTAAATTCAATTACAATTTTTTTTATTTTCTTGAACTAAATGATGATTTAATATTCTTAATAAAAATAAAAGTTCACATTCGTATATCACTTTGTCAAAAAATATTGCCTTTTTTATCACATAAAATTTGAGTGAAAATGATATTTAAAACTCATCGTTAGATTCATTACGTTACTCTGTTTCTGAGAAATGGTTATTTTTAGCCTCTTGTTCGATGGGGAAATCAGATGTGCTGACCTCATAATCTAGACAGTTCTCTCTCTATTGGCCAATTAACAAATATTTGTACAATTAAGCCATCATTTTTTACCCACATTGGCCATATTTACACCCATTTTCGTATCGGCATGCAATTTTTTGGCAATGCCATTTGGGATCAGATTGTGACAGGTATAAATCAGTACTAAGATGTCATTCCGTGTAGTGTTAGACTAAGATAATGAGTTTAATGGTGAATTTTCAATACCATTTTCACGTAAATTTTATGTAATGAAAAAAGTATTGTTTATAATAAAAAAATTTACGAACGTACACTTGCAATTTTATCCATAAAATAAAACCATTATGTACTACTACCAAAAAAAAAAAAATTCTAACTGCATAAAAACACTGAAAAAAATTTTTTTTTAACTAGCTTACGTTTGATTTATTTATTCCGTTAGCATATATGAATTTAAGAGTTTCTCTGTTAATAAAATGTATTTTAAGTATTAACCGGCAAAATCATTTATATTTTTTATGTTTATTATATATTAATATAATGTCTTACAAAGAATTAAAATCCCGAATGGATCCCGTAAGCCCTACCTAAGCTGGACAGTGGCTAATTTACAGAATGGCGTTTT